TTTTTTTTTTTTTTTTTTTTTTTTTTGGTGGCTGGCCAGTACAGGGATCAAACCCTGGACCCTGGCATTATCAGGACTGTGCTCTAACCAATTGGGCTAACCAGCCAGCCCTATCTTTGTTCTTCTTTACTTTTCTATGTTTTCACTTTAACCTAGAACCTTTACATCAGAAATATACAGTTCGGAGGTGAATTCCTAGGAAGAGGAGAAATAGTGTAAGGGCCACCATTTCCCTAGTCCCGAATGTTTAGCACATATTTTTCTTCAGGGTCAAAGAGATTTCCCTAATGTTTGAACAAATGGCTACTTAACATTATTTACATTTATGGCATCAGTTTATTTTACATTGAACATAAAGTTGATTTTTATATGGATCTAAATAAGAGAGACAAAGATGCCTAGTAGAATATTATGTTATATAAGAGTTGATACCAAAAGTTATAACATTTGGAATTGGGGCGTAGTGATCTTTTAATAACTTAAATGTGGACATTTTTTTGTTGTTTGTTTTTTAATTAGGAGCCCATGAAGTCCAGAGCACCACAGTTACATTTGGAATACAGATTCTACAAGCAGTTAGGATCTGGCGGTAAAGTTTTAAATTAATTTTTTAATTTAGAGTAAAATGGATTGTCATGACAATAACTCTTTAATTTCAAGGAATAATATTTTAAATTTGGTTAAGAAGAGTTACTTCTTAAGGTTGTGCTTACTAGATATTTTCTTACAATAGTCTTAATGATCCTTTTTTATTTTAAATATGACAGATTGGAGCTTTTTATGTTGGCGCTAATATGAGTAGAGAACATTGTGAAAAAAATTAATTTGAGAATATAAGATGCATATAGCTGTCATATTCTTAGCTTTTTTGGCAATATTAGAGCTGTTGTCATGACTTATGATATTGTGGCAGTCTGAGAAATGTCCCCATAGAAGATATCCACATTATAATCTCTAGAACCTATAAATGTTACTTATGGGAAAGAACTTGTAGGCATGATTAAGTTAAGAATTTTAATATGGAGAGGCTATTCTGGGTTATCCAGGTGGGTACTAAGTGCAGTCACAAGTATCTTATAAGAGAGAGGCTGAGGGACATTTTACATCCTCAGAAAAGGATAAGACAAGGTGGCCATGGAGCATAGTTTGGAGCAATGCAGCCATAAGCCATAAGCTGAATGCTTGCAGCTGTCAGATCCTGGGAGAGGTTTCTATGATTCTCCCCTAGAGTCTCTAAAGGGAATGTGACCATGCGAATGCCTTGCTTTGGTCTAGTGAAACTGATTTCAGACTTCTGGCTTCTAGAACTGTGAAAAAGTAAATTATGGTTATTTTAAACTACCAAATTTGTAGTAATTTGTTACACTAGGCCTAGGCAAAATGGCCTTATTTTTATATTAACTATAAATCTAAGTGAAAATGGATATTTTGTGCCATAGGAAAAATCATTGAAAAAGTTTTTCTGTTGTATATAGTGTTTTCTTTGTGTTAAAGCTTCTCAGAGCTCTACTTTTCTGTATATTACTATTCTACTATTGTAATGATTTTACTGTACAGTTTCTTATATAATACAGGCAGGGATATTTTGTTCCTCCAGATTTAATAAAATAGAATTTCTTCATGTATCTTTTTGTAAGCATGTTTAGATTCTAGTTGTACATCTATTCAGTTCTTTTAATACTGGTATGGATTTTGCATTCTTTTTTTCTGAGAGCATACTTTCCAAATGAGTAGTTGTTGCGGGGACAATTTAAAAATTTTAATTAATGGCTTATTACCATGGATTTCTTATAGTGCATATTTAAGTCTGATACCGACAGGCCTCAGGAAGTTATCAAAATTATCACTGACAACTGGGATTTGAAGGATATTGAAACCATACATATTAGTTAGGACAAGCAAGTAAGAAGCTAAGTGTGGGGAACAAAAGGAATTTATTGACTCACATACTGGAAATTCAAGGAAATGACCTGATATATAAGACATTGCTGTATTCAGGGCTTCACATACTGCCTACAACATCTTGAGTATCTGTAATCTATCTTTTTATGTGTTTTTTTTTCACTCTCTGGTTGGCCCTTCTTATGAGGTGGCAGAAGTGTCTACCATTCAGGGCTTCACATACTGCCTACAACATCTTGAGTATCTGTAATCTATCTTTTTATGTGTGTTTTTTTCACTCTCTGGTTGGCCCTTCTTATGAGGTGGCAGAAGTGTCTACAAGTAGTCTAGGTCTAGCAGTTATAAAGGCATCTCTTTCCTAAAAATTTCAGCAAAAGTTCTAGGACTGAATGTTACTGTCTTATATTGGGTCCCATGTTTTTCCTTGGTCTAATCACTATGAATTTGATTACCTCCAGTTAGATTGTGTATTCTTCCCAGGACTCAGAATGCCAAATGGGAAATTGAGGTGTTTTCTGAGAGGAATTGAATGCTGAGGAGGTAAAAACAACAGATCTATTCACTAAAGTAGTAAAAGTATCATTTGGAAAAATCGAGTCAAGTGGTTTAATTGGATAAGAATGAGAAAATGAATAAATCATTTTGGAATCATTGAATTAAATAACAAAAGTACACTTTTATCATTTTAATCTTTGCCTGTTTTAACTTTAAAAATTATATCAAAGATAGTAAAAATAAAAGTGAAACATACATGGTTTAGCACTTGAATGCCATAGGACCGTAGTGTTGTACAACTGTAGGTACCCCCATTTACAGCTACTCCCTTTTGCTCCATAGGTATCATTTACATAGATTGAAATATGAATGGTGTTGTCCGAAGGTATGCATCATGATGGATTTGAAACTCTGACAAATGTGGATATTTTTGAGTATTTCATATGAATCGTGAATTTTGGGTACTTTTTGTGTTTTTTATTGATTGTGAATTAAAAAAAAAACATTTTTGAGTACCCATTTGAGCTTTGTTGAGAAACAAGAGTGCTTAATTATTTGAGGAGAACTGATAACTTTGAAACAACTTGTTTTTGGAATTGATATCTAAAAAGATTATATTTTCAGACCGCTCTTAATCATAAATGGGCCATTTAAAGTAATTTAGTCTGTAATTCTCCTATGATATGTTGTTTCATTTACATAAAAGTTTGACAGAATTCTCTTTAAAGAGATGTATTTAATTAATATCTATAATATATAAAGAACTTCTAAAACTGAACAGAAATAGAATCAACCCAATTCAAAAATGGGCAAAGGACTTGAATAGACACTTCTCCAAAGATATACAAATGGCTAATAAAAACAGGAAAAGATTCTCATCACTAATCATTAAGGAAATGCAACTCAAAACCACTTCACACCCATTAATATGGCTCCAAACAAAATAAAACAAAGCAAATAACAGAAAACAGCAAGTGATAGTATGGATGTGGAGTAATTAGACCTTTGTACATTACTGGTGGGAATGTAAAATAGTGCAGCCACTGTGGAAAACTGTATGTTGGTTCCTCAAAAAATTAAATATACAACTACCATTTGATGTTGCATTTCTGCTTAATTGTACACCCTTGTTCATGGTAGTATTATTCACAGTATCCAGAAGGTGAAAACAAGTCCATTGACAGAAAAATAGATAAACAAAATGTGGTGTAGGGTGAGCATTTCTAATCTGAAATGCTCCAAAGTCCAAAACTTTTGGGCCTGACATGATGCCACAAGTGGAAAATTCCACAGCTGACCTCATGTGGTGGGTTGCAATCAAAACTTCGTTTTATGTACAAAATTATAAACATATGATATAAAATTACCTTCAGGCTATGTATGTAAAGTGTATATGAAACATAATTTTGTGTTTAGACTTGGGTCACGTTCCTTACATATCTCATTATACATATGCAGATATTCCAAAATTTGAAAAAATCCAAAATCTGAAACATTTCTGGTCCCAAATATTTTGGACAAGGGACACTCAACCTGTTTTTACATACCATGGAATGTTATTCAGTCTTAAAAAGGAAGGAGATTCTGAGACATACTACAATATGGGTGAACCTTGAGGACATTATGCTCTGTAAAAGAGGCCAATCACAAAAGGATAAATACTGTACTCTTACACTTCCATAAGTACCAGAGTAGTCAAATTCATAGAGACAGAAAGTAGAATGGTGATTTCCAGGGGCTTGGGGGGCAGGAAGAAATGGGGAATTATTGTTTAATGGTTAAGAGTTTCAGTTTGGAATGATGAAAAAGTTCTGGAGGTGGATAGTAGTGATGGTTGTACAACAGGGTGAATGTACTTAAGGCCACTAAATTGTACACTTAAAAATGGTTAAAATGATAAATTCTGTTATCTATATTTTACCACACTAAAAAATAAATAAAAAATAGATTTATTTAGAATTATCTAGTGAGGCATCCGCAAAAATATACAATTTTTCTGGTTCTGTCTGTTTGGATTTTGATCCTCCTGTAAGTCCATGTGTCTCTCTTTCCCTTTATTTAGCATCCCTGGCAGTATCCCTCTTTTTTTCACAGTTTTGATCACTGAATCAATTATCTATGTACACTAGGATTTAACAGCTTTACTTCAGTGTGCATATGAAGGGCCGACTCATATAGCTTTGCATAGGATTAGAATATTGTTTTATGTCATTATCATTTTCTGTGATAGCAAAAAATTAACGTACTGAATAGGCTTGTGGTGTCGCATCCACTCAGCTTTCATTGAGTAAAATGAAGATCTAGATTTGGGAGTCATCAGCACACAGGTGGTTTTAAAGCTAAGGGTATGGATAAGATCTCTAAGAGGTGAGCATAGAAATTGACAAGAGAAGAGGAGAAAGAACAGGACTATGAGGACCACTGCATTGGATAGGAATGAATTTGACAATCAGTAATAAATATTGTGACAGCAGTAGCTTAAACAAGTAAAGGGATGTTATGTGAGGAAAATAAACAAGGAATTCTGAGGTGGGCAGTTGTAGAGTTGGTATAGCTACTCAAAAATAAGGAGTCAGGGATGTACCTTTAGTGTATGCCTTTTTTCCTACAATCCTGGATCTTTTTTTGAACAGGAGGGAGGGAGAAAAGTATGAAATTATCCATATAAAGATAATTTCCAATTCTCTGTCACCTGCCTCAGTTCTTAAAGTGTAGCTATACTGTTAGCTCTCTGTATCCATGTGTTCTGTGTCCATGAATTCAACCTACTGTGGATGGAAAATATTAAACACACACACACACACACACACCCCAAAAGATAAAAAATTAACAATACAACAATACAAAGTAATAAAAATAAAAATATAGTATAACAACTATTTACATAACATTTACATGGTGTTAGATACTAAAGGTAATCTAGAAATGATTTAAAGTATATAGGAGGATGTGCATAGGTTATATGCAAATTCTGTTACATTTTATATAAGGGACTTGAGTGTTTGCAGATTTTGGTATCTGTGGGGTTCCAGGAACCAGTTCCCTGTGGACACCGAGGGACAACGGTATATGAATGTCTTTACTGGAATCAGAAATTCAGTGTGCCTAGAATTGAGCTTCCTACCTTCTTTCTCCCTTATTTTCCCAATAATTTTTCTCTGTTCCAAAAGACCTGCTTGGTCTTCTGGATTA